CTTCGAGAGGGATTTGCTTGAGGGTTGCCACTACCAACCTCAAAGAAGGTATCAAATCACTGCTAATTCCTGCCTTCATGACATGCAGGTGTTCCAAATCAGTTTGCTAAGAGTCTGAGAAGCCAGCCCCAGCGCATTCAGTGTGTTTTTCTTGCTGGCATTGCTTCAAGAGTTCCGCCGCCGCTTGGAAACCTCAGTTTGAAGACCCAAACTTGGAAACCCAAACGTTTACTTTTTGGTAGATGTTTGTAAACAGTTTCCCCTTGTTTTCTTGGCAGTGTCTTGACTTGAGGAATGGATGCAAACTACTACCCCACGATACTACGTTCGCCTCAACTAACTAAACACAACATCCCTTGCTCACCTTTGCCGGTTGATTTGTCAAGTGGATGTAAAACAACACTTTTCACATTGACTCTCCCCATTCAATCAATTGTTTCACACTGAAGCGCTGACAAGGCTTGCCCATGGGTTCATCGCGTACCACTCACTCACTCTTTAAGAGTCGGGTTCCAAAACGACCAAAAAATAATCCAATTGGAAACTGAATTCCCGAATTGGCGCTTTGCAATCCGTTGAGTTGACCCCATTTTGCGAGTCAAACCAGCAAAACGGCACATTTTGTTGGAGCGTTCGGTACATCTCGCTCAAATTCATGCCTTTATATAACTACAAACGATGTCTAGGCAAATTGCCCACTGTCTTGACGCATGCATGTGCAAATGTCAAACGAACCGAAACTTCAAGATCCAGTGGAAACTCCAAAATTGAGCATAAAACGGGCCGCTGCTTTCAACAAGGCCGATATGGCACATGGTCGGCATCAAATGCACATGGGAAGAACGTGAATGTTGGTTTCCACGGACATCATATTACCACGAAAGTAAACATTGTTTGCGTCCCAACATCTGCCGGCCATAAATATGACGGGGAAAATGAATTTTGGTGCATCCAAAATCGACTAGAGAAGTCTTAGTTTTCAATGACGCGGTGAAACCACTGAATGCTCCCATGAAGGCCTGATGAAAAGAACGCCTGGTTAAACAGGAAGTATGCAGAGGGTCCAACCATTTCCAAAAACTCCAAGTTCACCACCCCAAAATTCAAAATTCACGAGGCTCAAAGTTTCATCTGCCAACCCCCAAAACATTGAAACATCGCCAGCCTAAAATCTAAAGCCAGATGCAATTGTTCAACACCGCAGCTGTGAATTCATCCAATTGATTTCCGTAGTTCCTTTGCATAGGAAAGCTGCAACGAAAAACTGAAGGACTCCGGAAACCTCTTGCTCAATGGCAATCAAAACAAGCTGGAGACACAGAAGAATGCATAGCAGGCTCGGAAATCCTGGTACTGGCCTTAGTGGAAAACACTGACAAGCTCAAGATACAGTTCTTTTTTGAAACGCGCAAACTCGCGTCACTGAAAGAGAATAGAGAGAAAAACAGCTTGAGTCGGCAGAGAGTTAAACAATGTGAAACAAGAGTTTCGGCTTTTGGGTGAAAAACTTCATTTTTTGAAGCGCGCAGGCGGGCAGCCGAACGTCACCAAAAAAACGCGGAAAGCGTTCTGAGCATTGCATGAGTCATCAACACAACTCGCATCATCTGCATCACCGGCATGTCAAGAATTGCACTTATTGTTTTTCCTCAGAAAGGGACGCTATGCGGGTGTGTGTTTCACGGTGGTTAGAAAAACACGTGTCTTTAAACTTTACCTTTCATGGAACGATTGCTTCAGTAACCCCCTGCTGACATGTAAGATGAATTGAACAAATGTGTGTTTTCATAGAAAACACATTAATTGTTTCAGTCCTATGCGGATGTCAGTTTTCTGCAGGTAATGAATAAACACATGTTTCTGATGTTTCGAATTGTTTCTCTCTCCGGCCCGTTGCCTAAACTCATACTATGGAATGATTTGACCTCTGTCTGTACCTCACGAAGAACATCAATCAGACCATCAACCAAAGGTTTCTTGACAGTGTACGTCAAGACGAGCTCTCTACAGTACAGTGCCTCCTGCCTGCTGTACAGTGAGAACTCACGTCGAGTCAACCTGAGGAGTTCGTAGCGGTTGGCCTCTTGATAGAAGAACTGCTTGGGGGGTTGTCTCTGAGCCTGCCTGCAAGTCCTGCTGCATTGCTTGGGCCACTGCAAGTCCGGCATCCAGGTGCGGGTTGCGCATCTGCGCAGAAGCATGTTGACGCTCCTCCTCCGCATTCGCTTGCTGAAACGAAAAAAGGAACCGGCCACAACTCACAGCACAGTGCAGAGGATCCACAGTGTGTGTGCCCATGTGCATCGTGGGCTGTGGACATCAGTCGTTCGTGAATTCAGTCTTGTGGATGTGTTTTTTCCACGAGTGCGGACGCCATGTGGGCGGTGTGCCCAGGTCATCGTAGAAGGAAAGGAAACACAGCAAATTGATGGGGGAATCAAGCCAAAAACACCAGCACCAAAACAACCAACAAAAACCCAAAACCAACCCCAAAACAACCACAAAAACCACCAACACGGACCCCCAACCAATGTGAGCAGTGCTTCCTCTGTACTGAAAGTGAAACAGGTGAGAAAGACGAGCTGCAAAATATCTAAGGGCCTGAATTCTCTACGAAAGGCGAAGTGCTTTCTGGTCGTGGGTACTTGCACAGATCGGCCAATCAAAGGTGGCCACACTCCATTGACAAGGATGAGGTCATCCATGCCATTTTGATGGTTGGCACTCAGCATAGTTTGACATCATGCTAAGTACCAAGTGCAAAGTATGCAGTTGTCAGATGACTATGGCCAAAGAGTCATCGGTTGCGAAGCACGGCAAGCCGTGGAAAATTCCCTCTCCGTGGCACAATCCATACAACTGATTGCACATACGAAAAGCAGTGGCTTATCTTGAGCGTGGAAGTGGGCGGCATCGCAACGAGAGGACTGCTCACGACATGCTGATTTCCCTCCCACAAGGGAGGCACAGCACACCCCCAATGGCTCCGACGCGTTAGCCAAAGGGGTTATGGGGGTTGTTCACTCTTCCATTAGATAGTGAGCACTGACATCACTATCCTTCACCATGCATGGCCCATGTGAAAAAGGTGAAACAATGACCTATCCTAGCATGGTACTTACGCCATCTTTGTACAAGATTGGCTGTGGTTCGGCTCCCGCAGATGAGCAACTAAGGTTCTCCCTGGGCGCCATCCATCAACCGCTCTGCTACCACCCGCCTACCTTGGACGAAGAGCTAAGGCTCCCATTCCGGTAGGCTCACAAAACTGCAGGCGATGGAGGCGAGGATGACGACTCTATCTGCTTTGCGGGGCCTGACTCACTCTCGCACAGTGGGGGAGTGTGCCTTACGCTACATCGGGCGCGTACCCACTGTCAGGGATCATGTGCAACCAAGGCTGGACAAATGGCAAAAGCATTTTCTTCTGCGTATATTCCCCTCCATCTATGCTGGCCTGGGAGCTTGACTGGAGGAAAAGCTCCAAACCTCAAAGCTTTTTTGAAAATCGATACACTGCACTCACGTACATGGACCATTTGTCACAAAAAAATCATTAAATCATTAATTAATTAAGTTGGTCTTTTTTGTATAAAAAAGTTACTTATTTAAAAGATCAAACTTAACGAATTAACGATTTAACGATATTTTTTTAGGCTATCTATTTTGGCACGTTTTTGTTTTCATTACTGTGGCTTGCTGGCAATTGCTGGCAAACAGCTAAGCTGTAACCAGAAGCCATCGACAAAGGAAAAAAAAGAGGCCGCGCCAACTCCAGCGAGCATTGAACCAAAGAAAAGAAACCTTTTGCAGACACTCCTGGGGGAACAGAATTGGTTGTCAGCTTTCACGCCCATTTCAGAGTCCCACTCTTTCATCTAGCATTCTGCCACCTCCGGCCCATGGTTCCACCTGCGCCAGCAGCAAAACACGCTCTCGACGACGCAAAGTAGTGCCCAGTTCCCTGCCCCCAGTTCCCTGTCCCCAGTTCCAGTTCCCTGTCCCCAGTTCCCTGTCCGCAGTTCCCTGTCCCAAGTTCCCTGTCCCCAGTTTGCTGCCCCCCGTTCCCTGCCAGTTCCCTGTCCCAGTTCCCTGCCCCCAGTTCCCTGTCCCCACTCCCTGTCCCAAGTTCCTGTCCCCAGTTTGCTGCCCCCAGTTCCCTGCCCCCCAGTTCCCTGCCCCAGTTCCCTGCCCCCAGTTCCCTGTCCCCAGTTCCCTGTCCCAAGTTCCCTGTCCCCAGTCTGCTGCCCCCAGTTCCTGCCCGCCAGTTCCCTGCCCCAGTTCCCTGCCCCCAGTTCCCTGTCCCAAGTTCCCTTGCTCAAAAATGGTGTTCCCGCTGATCTCAAACACAGCTGATCTCAGACCAAGCATTAAGAAAAAAACAACCACCGTCAAAAATGGTGTTCTCGCTGACCTCACACACAGCTGATCTCAGACCAAGCATGAAGAAAAAACAACCAGTGCTCAAAAATGGTGTTCTCGCTGATCTCAGACACAGCTGATCTCAGACCAAGCATTAAGAAAAAAACCACCGTGCTCAAAAATGGTGTTCTCGCTGATCTCAGACACAGCTGATCTCAGACCAAGCATTAAGAAAAAACGCCAAGTCAAATCAGGAAGCAAGCAGTGAAAACGCCGCCCTCAAAGATGCAGCATTAAATCATTAGTGGATAAGTGAAAACGCCGCCCTCAATGATGAATTAACAAAAGCTTGGGTTACAGAACTGCCAGAACATCGTCTCCTGCAAAGCAGCTGACTTGGGGCCATCATTGAGGGCGGCGTTTTCACTTAACCCCTAATGATTTAATGTTGTATCTTTGAGGGCGGCGTTTTCACTTCATGCTTCCTGATTTTATTCTCCAACTATGTCACTATGTAAGCCCTCAAGTCGCTGATCAAGGCCTACAGGTGGATCTCAGACGAGGCTGATCTCCAACTATGTAGAACCCCAAGTCGCTGATCAAGGCCTACAGGTGGATCTCAAGCGATGTGAAAACACGGAAGCGAGTGCGACCCTTTTGCGAATCCCGCTCTTGAGCCAAACATAACAGTCGGTTTGACTGTATGTCTGTTCGTCCACTCTTCTCTGAAGAGGTCTGACTGGTCACAGTCGTCCAAAACATACTAAAAGTACAAGAAAGCATCTCCAAACACTCTCAAGCAAAGCTAGGCTATACACAGCTCATCTCAAGCACTACAGCTCTATACTTAGGGCTTCTCTAGACATGCTCCTAGCCACTTCTGGTCACATTCCAGCTCCAACCCCAAGCACTCCAAAAACGAAAATTCCCTAAAGAAGCAAGCACTAGGTGAGCCATACGCTGTACACGTGCGCTGTACGCTACTTTTCACACCCCTTCTTGGGTCGCCTAGGGCTACCTGCCTTCTTCTTCTGTCTTCTTCTCTTCTTCTGTTCGTTTTGTTGGAGCAACTAAGGATCAGACATCAACTAAGATCCAAACTTCTGCCCTCAAAGGTGATCTCAATGACATCAATCCAGAGGTAAACTCGAGCTC